CACCCTTTCTCCCCCACGGGCATCGGGCCAGACTTCTTTACCCCCGGCATGGCCAGCGTGGGCGCCACGTTCCCCCCGTTGGCTGGCAAAATGGCACTCAACTCTCTTCTTCAGAGGCAGCTCATGCAAACCATCTACACCAAAGCCCTCCAGGACCCTTCTCCAAGTTCTGTGCTCTTCGGGCTGCCCCATTACGCTACAACCAACTCTCTCTCCAGCCCCCTACCCCCTCAGTCAGCGGGCAGCCCGGAGGTTAATGGCCTGGCACCCTCTCCCAGCCAGTCTGAGGGTGCAGGCAGCACGTCGGAAGGGGAGGAAATGGACACGGCTGAGATTGCGCGACAGGTCAAGGAGCAGCTGATCAAACACAACATCGGCCAGCGTGTGTTCGGCCATTATGTGTTGGGTCTGTCCCAAGGCTCGGTCAGTGAGATTCTGGCCCGGCCCAAACCCTGGAGCAAGTTAACTATCCGTGGCAAAGAGCCCTTTCACAAGATGAAGCACTTCCTGTCTGATGAGCAGAACATCCTGGCGCTGAGGAGCATCCAGGGCAGGCAGAGAGGTCAGTTACAGAGCTTGAGGAAACAACTTAACCTTGTTATCGCAGATGATCTCCCAACGCACGTTTATTTTCAAACATTATGCATGGGATTAAATAGTGCTCAGTTAACAGCATGGTAATTCCTCTCACATGTAAGCAACTTAAACATGGGCACATTGATGTTAGCAGTCTCACATTTGGCGCACGTATTTCTTTAAAGAGCAGTCAAATCAGATACTTTAAATAGTCAAATATTTGCAATAACAAGAGAGGGCAGTGCTTTGCGATTGCTGTGATCCAGCTGTACTTCTTATGGAAGCTTGTTTTTTTGCCTCAGATTAAAAAAAAATTAAATAAAATGAGTAATTGTGAACAAAATTTTTAAATAAGAACTAAAGTTGCATTTGTGAGATATGAAGTCACATTTTTGAGATATAAAGTTACAATTGTGTGATATGACGTCGTGATTTTGAGGTATGAATTCACAATTTTGAGGTATAAAGTCGCATTTGTGAGTTGTGAAGTCATGAGATATAAAGTCATAATCGTGAGGTATACAGTTGCATTTGTGTGGTATAAAGTCATGTTTATGAGATAGGAAGTTGCAATTGTGAGATATGAAGTCACGTTTCTCTGAGGTATGAAGTTGTACTGTATTTGTGAGGTATAAAGTTGCAAATTTTAAAGAATGAAGTCACATTTGTCAGGTAAAATCTTGCATTTGTTAGTTATGAAGTCACATTTGTGAGGTGTGAAATCTTATTTGTGAGGTATAAAGTCACAATAATGTAAAATTAAGTAAAATTAGTGAGGTATAAAATCATTTTTGTGTGGTAGTTGCATTTATGAGATAGGAAGTCACGTTTGTGAGGTAAAAACTGGCAAGTAGAAGTCTTAATTATGAGAAATAATTTCACATTTGTGAGATATAAAGTTGCATTTGTGAGTTAAAAGGGTCGCATTTGTGAGGTAAAAAAGTTGAAATTACATTGTATACATTTGCATTTGTGAGGTATAGAGTTTCAGTTATGAGAAAAGTAGTCACATTTCTGAGGTAAAAGTCACATTTATGAGGTATGAAATAATTTTGAATGCAGTATTGTGAAATGAAGTCACATTAGTGAGGTATAAAATCATTTTTGTGAGGTAGTTAAAATTATGAGATATGAAGTCAAGTTTATAAGGTAAAAACTGGCAAGTAAAAGTCTTAATTATGAGAAATGAATTGAGGTATAATTTCACATTTGTGAGGTACAGTATAAAATCATTTTTGTGAGATATAAAGTCGCATTTGTGAGGTAAAAAAAAGTTGAACTTACGTGGTATAAATTTGCATTTGTGAGGTATAAAGTAGCATTTCTGAGGTATAGAGTTTCATTTATGAGAAAAGTAGTTGCATTTGTGAGGTAAAAAAGTCACATTTGTGAGATAAGAAGTCACAATCGTTAGGTATGAATTCGCAGTTACCTTATTATTATTATAATTTTTTTTTTACTGTAGGCAAAAACAGGCTTTCATGATTCCTTTCCGATAAGCTTTAGACTAAACTAACCCTTTCATCCACTATGGAATGGTGCACATAACCTTTAAGATTGAGAGTCTTCAGATAACTACATGAAGCCCATAGAGACTAGATACTAGAGTCTGAAGGAAACACTATCAGTACTCAGTTGGTGCAGGCGGCGTGTTGATTAGAGCTAAACTTCAGCAGTCTACCCTTTCTTTCATTTTGGTCTCAGCCTACGGGTGAAGAGGAAGTTCAGAGAGGTTTGCGAGCATTATGTTTTGCCTCAAGTCGGTGCTTCACAGCTAGAGCGAACAAATCAAGGCCGAGCCCAGCGTGTGCGAGAGTACTTGCATATGAGGGCAGTTGGCTGCGAATCCCTGAAGCCGTGTTGAGCCGAGTCTAAGTTTGCTCAGTCTAGCTGTGAGGCAGTAGTTTTGAAACAGAGCCGGAGCTGAAAAAGGCTGACTGTGCTGCCCGTGCGTCTGCACACCGGTTTGGAACGTCTTCAAGGGAGTCTGGTCTGGCTGTCTGCCTCCATAGCGTCGGCTTGTGGTCTCCCATGGGAGTATGAACTTTGTAAAAACCTTAAAACCCATTCATTCACTTCAAAGACCTGGGCTAAAGGAGCACATTAACGTTGAAATAATCACTCGAGTGAGTTCTGCACGGTGCAGGTGGCTTTCTTTGAGGTCAGACTAGGTCGATTTGTGTTTAAGCTTAAAGGTCCCATGACATGCTGCTTTTTGGATGCTTTTATATAGGCCTAAGTGGTCCCTAGTACTGCCTCGCACGGTAGTAGCTCATTTTCTCATGGGCGGGCCAAATTCTCTGGGCGGGCAAAGCAGAGAAAGGGGAGGTAACCTTTCCCCGTATGACGACATAAAGGGAAGATTCCAGATTGGGCCATCTGAGCTTTCATTTTCTCAAAGGCAAAGCAGGATACCCAGGGCTCGGTGTACACCTATCGCCATTTCTAGCCACTGGGGGACCATAGGCAGGCTAGGGGAACTTATATTAATGTTAAAAAACCTCATAAAGTGAAATTTTCATGCCATGGGACCTTTAACAAACTACCATTCAAAGGATATTTACATGTATCTGTCCATGTAAAGGAATTACTTTGGATTAGTATTACTAAGTGCTCTCAAAATTGACTGTGAAGACATTGACAACCATTTAAGATCAGGGCTCAACAATAAGGATTTCTTAGCAACGCATATTATATACTTCAGAAAAGGAATATATATTGCTTTTCACAGGAATACATTTGTATTTTTAATTTAATTTTTAAATTATTAATTTACCCTAAAATAAATTAAAAAATACATAATTTTTTCGCTTTTCAGAAAAAAAAGTCTTTTTTTTTTTAAATGTTATGTTTATTTGTATTATATTGTAAATTATATTCTTATTGTAACTATGTATTATATTGTAACTTATATTCTTATTGCTACAATGTAACTCTGAAAGCTATGGATTTATTAGTACTTTTAATTGGAAAACGATTGCATATGGTACAGATTTTTTGTGATAAAGGCTAGTCATTCTCTCGCAAATACAGCAAAACATCATCTGTGCTAGCTAATATTAGCTAAATAACGTTAACATCTAAATCAGCAGAATTCAAATTCCAAGGTGTTCGCTCGTCAGCGAATGTAAGACACTGATGCCGCAGCACTAAGACTGTAAGACAGGTGACATTTCTGTCAACCGACCTAAAAACAAAAATCTCTCATACTCAGTCATTCTTACAGTTGAGCCCTGGAGATGATTGGACAATTGACAGCAGAAGTTTAGGGCTTGGTCTTACTTTATTTCTATCTTCCGCCACTTGTTTTCCAACAGAGAACCCAGGCCAGAACCTGAACAGAGTGTTTCAGGATGTTCCGAAGCGAAGAACCGGCTCGGAAGGCTCCACGCGGCCAGGTCTGTCTCAAGCCTTCCCTCTCGTGTTACGGGTTTCTGGAGTGTCAGATCCGCAGTGTGTCTGTCTGTTTTTGTTGTGCTGGTCTGTTTCTTCTCAATCTCTGGCCTGGAATCTGTTGCAAAACAAGTGAGTGAGACAGACAGGGCTGGAAGAGGTGTGACTGGAATTTAAAAAGATCTCGTTCGGACTGTCGGAAGACAGCTGTTTACAATAAATGCTACACCTTTGACTGCATAGATTAGTTTCAAACTGTGGAAAAAAACGCTGTGTGAGTGTTATCAAGCCTAAACCTATGTAACTTTCCATCACGGAGGTCCTTGAGGATTCTGTCCTGTTATTTCGTGGTCAGCTTGTGTGTATATATGTGTGTGTGTGTGTGTGTGTGTGTGTGGCAGAATCCTTCAGGCAGATCTACAGTGCCACCACATTACAACTGGTGGTTGAGTCTCCCCCAGGGCGGCACTGTGGGTGGCTAGCCACCCCTGTGTGTGTGTGTGTGTGTGTGAGAGAGAGAGAGAGAGGGCGAGAGAGCATTACTTCCACCTCACACACACGTCCAGCTGCTCTCCTCACACACCAGTGACTCTGACCTTGCCCTGCTGCCCACTGCTCGCTGGGCGCATTCCCTCTCTCTCTTTCCATATTTATTATCATTGCACCGGCCCGTCTGATGATACTTCCACACAAGCTCTGTTGTTTCTCATGGATTTTATCCAAATCTTACCGTCTCTTTGTTGTGGGGGACAGGAAAAGGTTTCAGTCCTTGCACAGGAAGTGCAGCTGTAGCCACGGGCAGCGCAGGTGCTGATACACACAATATTATAGACAAGCAAACGATTGCTAATGGTTTTTTAGTTTTGTGCCAGTGAGTTTGGTCGCAGGATTGCAATTCCATGAAATAAAAAAGTGTCAGGCTTATTTTAGCATATCGTATAGTTTGTTGTTTAGAATAAGCTTGCGTTTGCATCTATTTAAACTCTTGCTTTGTCATGCAGAAATAGCAATATTTTTGCCATTTTCAGTCTAAAAGATTGTATATTGTGCTCCATTTCAAAACAAACAGATTGTTACACATGACGTGTCACTTACAGCTACATGTCCTTCTCGTGTCTTCGCAGGTAACATCACCACACGGATCCGCACACCTGAGACCGGCTCCGATGAAGCCATCAAGTCCATCTTGGAGCAGGCCAAGAGAGAGTTACAAGTGCAGAAAGCAGGTGAGTCTTTTTCTGTCATCAGGTAATCAAGGAAGGATCAAGGCATTCACATGTGTTTTCCACTTCCCCACAATCAGTTATGTCACTTCCTGTAGGATTGGACTTTTCCAAAACTGGTCATTTTTTCATTCACTTTTTCTAAATGAGTCAAGTTTTCTATTGTAGAATTGATTGTGGTGTCATCATACTAACATAGTACACTACTGTTCAAAAGTTGTTATTTTTTTTTGTTGAAAGAAATTAATATTTTATTCAGCAAGAATGCATTAAATTGATCAAAAGTGACAGTAAAGACTTATATTTCAATTTCAAATAAATTGTTCTTTTTAACTTTCTATTTACCAAAGAATCTTGAAAAAATGTATCATGTTTTTAACGAAAATATTAAGCCACACAACATTGCTTTCAACATTGAAATAATAAGAAATGTTTCTTGAGCACCAAATCAGCATAATAGAGTGATTTCTGAAGGATCATGTGACACTGAACAGTGAACACTGGAGTAGTGATGCTGAAAATTCACAGGAATAAATTACATTTTAAAATATATCCAAGTAGAAAACTCCTATTTTAAATTGTAATAATATTTGACAGTATTACTGTTTTTACTATATTTTTGATCAAGTAAATGCAGCATTGGTGAGCATAAGAGGCTTCCTTCAAAAACATTCAAAAATCTTATTAACCCCAAACTTTTGAACGATGGTGTATGTTGGCTAAAACTGTAATTGCAATGCAGATTTTTAAACAAGCACTGTCTAAAATGATTATATCAGTCAATAACATACTGAGTCATATCCCCTCTGTTTTTGAATGTTGAAATTCCCTCCTTTACCTTTTCCTGTCCAAGCTTGTGTAACGGAATTAAACTAACTGTCTCTTCCCCACCTGCCACTGCAGACGGTGTGGGGGAGAGGCAACGGCGATCAGGTTACCACAGAGGGTCGGGCAGCTATTTCCAAATATATGCACACAGTCTAAGACTTGGTGAGGTTTTGTGCTGTCTGTTGAAAGTTTCCCCCCAAGATTTCCCCCCATGCCAAGAGCGCTACTGCTTCCAATGAACTTCTCACTGTCATAAATCAGTCTGAGTCATGGGGATTTATGACCGATGTATGTTTTTTATATATATATTTATATATATATATATATATATACATCAATAAAAAACCCTATGTACACGTGTTGAGAAATCTTTTACGGTCTAACTCACAGAAAACAGACATTTTTGTTTAACTTTATTATTAGAAACTATAATATATAATATTGATATATATGTCAAATTAAACTCCAAATTTATTCTGAAATGTTATTGGGTAGCATAGGGCAGCAATCTCTTATTGGCACCCTTTAAAGGAATAGTTCATCCAAAACAAAAATTCTGTCATCATTTACTCACATTCATGTTTTTCCAAACCTGTATGACTTTCAATCTTCTTGGGAACACAAGAGATGATGTTTTGGAGAATGTTCACGCTGCTCTTTTCCATACTAATTAGGGGCTAAAACCTAAGCTCCAAAAATAATGAAAAACACCTTAAGAGTATCATAACAGTAGACTTTACAACAAATTTGTGCAAAAAGACCAAAATTTAGTATATTTGTTGTACTCTTTTGTCCTTTTTGAAGCTTGGCCGCTTGTGGTCACTGTATCTTTTTATTGTCATAACTTCTGTTACAACATTCTTCAATGTTCCACTGAAGAAAGTTTGGAAAGGGTTTGGAAAACATGAGGATTATGTAAATAATGCCAGAGTTTTTATTTTTGTGTAAGCTATTACTTTAAGTTCCTCTTTTTTGAGCAATAATGTGGTGGTGTATAGGTGAAACAGATTGTGACCACTTACTTGTTCTCTTCTGTTCCTGCAGTTGAGAGTTCTCAGCCTCCGTCCTCCTCCAGCAACTCCGACGAGAACATTCGTTCCATCCTTGAGCAGGCTCGGAGGGAGATGGAGGCCCAGCAGGTGGCTCTGGAGCCCGTACTGAAGGCCAGCTCTATGGCCCCGACCGATCTGTCGCTCCTGGGCTCCCCGCTCTCCAGCCTCCCCTACACCCCTATTGCTCAGTCTCTGAAGAAGCCCTCCACCTCTCCTCTCTTGGACTTCCACAGTGGGGTGAAGAAGGAGATGGGTGAAGTGGCCGTCTCAGATGTGGGGGTGGACGGAGTGCACAAGTTTGGACGTCTCTCTGAGAGTGGAGGAGGTTTAGGTGGGGGTTCTTGGAGGGAGCACTGGTGGAGCACAGGTCTCTCTGAGCGTCGCGGAACCGGGCAGCCCTCTGTTAGCGAAGACGCCCACAGCCAAGAGGATAGCAAGGAGGTACAGTGCATTGTTAATAACTTTTTGATGCCACATACCCCCATATACCCACAGTATTAACCATTAAATTATCTCCACAAGTCTATATCCCTAACAACTGACCCTCTTTCTAAATATAATTGTAGAGTTTTCAGTTATAAAGACCCGTCTAAGATAGTAAACCTGCAACTGTCTGTCAAACAACAAAAGAAAAAGACTTGACTGAATAAACTTTGTAGCTTTATAATGAATCAGTGTATATTTAATTTATGTGAAGACTATGCAGTGTTTTAGTTTTACATTTGATTATTCCGTTTCTGTATTGTTTCTTACTTGAATAAATACTGTATATCTAATGTAGGCCTACCTGAAAGACTCAAAGCACTGTTTATTTCATTTGTATCTTTGTTTTATTGTATTTGTCCAATTGTTTGTAGTTCTTATTAAATTAAAATATCTAAAATAACTAATTGTCCACACCTAGTTTCAGGTGTTTTTGTTTACCTGGATGTTCTTGATGTTAAGATTTAGGTTACTATAACTATATATTACCAAGCTGAGCAAAGAGTTTTTGGTATTTAGATATTGGCATTATTATTATTATTTATTTTTTTACATTGATGTTAAAATTACATTTACAGATTTGTGACATTACTTTTTATGTAATGTTAAAACACTGCGGTTCACTTTCAGAAGTTGTAGTGATGATGATTTATTTTCCAAGAAATAATGCGAAACATATATTGGCTATATATTTTCGTTTTTTATATATATAATCTAAATTGATTTCACACACTTAAAGCAATATCGTATTGCATATCAATTATTGCATTATTTAACAAGGTATCGCATTTTTCTTCAAAAGTCACACCCTAGAATAGCCCACTTCCTCCTCCTTAAGTTTCCTTATATGGCTAACCCCAACTATATTACTCTTTGCCCCCACCAGAAGCTCCCTCGGCTGGGCAGCACTGCGCCTGTGGCTCCTGCTTCCTCTCTGGATTACTGGAAAGACTGGCCCAGCTCAGAGTCCCCATACTCCCAGAGCTCAGAGCTGAGTCTGCAGATGCCCAGCGGCAGCGAGACGCCTCAGAGCAGCCCACTGCCTTCCTCCTCGCCTTTACTGTCCCTCCCCAAAGTCGCCAAACCCGTGGTGCCCCCGCTCACACCTGAGCAGTACGAGTACTACATGTACCAGGAAGTGGACACTGTCGATCTCACACAGCAGGTCAAAGACAAACTAGCCAAGAATGGCATCTGCCAGCGGATCTTTGGCGAGAAGGTCAGTGCTTTTCAAATCAGAAACGCTTCCATCGATTACCCACCCGTGGTTCTCCTAAGAAACGATATGAGCGAGTGTGTGTTGGTTTCATTTTTATACTCCATGCAAATGTATGAGTTTGTTAATACCAGCTGCATCTTTCTTCTTATTGCATCATGAAATATCTTCATATTTGTTTCAGGCCTGTTTTTCTCTGAATCTGATGTACCATATCTCCTGTGTGTGTGGATTGCAGGTGCTGGGCCTCTCTCAGGGGAGCGTGAGCGACATGCTCTCTCGGCCGAAGCACTGGAGCAAGCTCACGCAGAAAGGAAGAGAGCCGTTTATACGCATGCAGTTATGGCTGAACGGAGAGCTGGGCCAGGCACTGCTGCCAATGCCTGGACAGACACAAGGTAACACCCCGATACTGTTTACCATCACACATACTCCTATGTAGACGTCACTGTAGTTTTATCTATACAGAGAAACGTGCACAGTGGCTCAAGACGGATGTGAAAGAGCTTCACGTTTCTGATGTGGCTTTGGTTTCTCGGTTTCACTCCTCACATCCTGAGCTGCCATCAAAGCCACCATTCATTCGGCTTTCTTATCATTTGGCATGGGCGAATGCAGAACTCTCCAATCACATCCACTTCTCCTCGCCAAAATTAGATTTCTCTTGAATATCTAACACTGAAATATCACAGGAAAGAAGCAAGCTGCCTGGTCTCTAATGTTAAGATCACCCATTTTTGACACTCCAGTCAATTCTGGATAGAGAAACTATCTGACTTTCAGATAGTTCAAAGAATTCTGACTTGAATGGATGGCTTATAATATCTGTCTGATTAATATATGCGCTCTGAGATGCCGTTTAAAAAAAGTGAAGAAAACCAGCATTTCCTGAAAATGCTAACGGCTGCATTCCTTTAATGGTCTGACTGATACTGGTTTTAGCCTGGCTTGAATAAATAACCGAGGGCAAACCAAATCTCAGTGTAATTCTTCAGTAGTTCAGCCAGCTGTACCTCGCTCGGCCTTGCAGTGGGAGTAATTTAAATTACTCATGGATACAGGATCATACTATTGACCCACTTTTAATGTGCAATCATTATCCTAGGACAACAGCGTTCTGGTGATCGATCTCAGATGTTTATTAAAGCGCTATGTAATTATTAGCGGTCATACTAAGGGTTAAGAATTTGAACAAGCCCCTAAACCCTAAGTATCACACTTCAGTGTGTTATTTTTCCCGCATTGTTTGTACTATGAAATGTGAATATCTTAAACTGTGAGTTATGGATGTATAAATCTAATTATTATTTTGCAGTTCAAGGCCTTTTTAAACCCTGTTATGTCGTTTATTAGCGGTCATCAATTTTTTTTATATTTCCATTGACCTGGATTTCAAGGAAAGGCATCAGGGGGTTGGGTTAAATCGGTGCAGCGTGGATGGGGAGGGGGGTTTGTCTCATAGGGGCCATCCAGAAAAGCCCCCCTGGGCTCTTTCAAGGGCCTCCTTGAGCTGTTGTAATCAATTAGCCCATCAGCGCCGGGATATATGATAATTACCCGCCTCTCCTCCTCTGTGACTGGCTGCCGAGCACACCATCATGCTCCAGTGGCTGATTAATATGCAAATAATCAGCCGATGGAATGATAAATGGGAGTCAAGCTGTGCGCGTGAGTGCGAGGCCGATTATGATGAATAGCACTTGCTCGCTGTCCTACTTAAAGAAGCCTTTCTCTGTCATTTTTACCACAAATTAAGCAGAGTAATATATACATTATAGCAATGAGTTCAACTGGAAAAGCAATAGGGGGTAATAAAAAGGAATAGGAAATGGTCAACTTTGGAAACGAGGCTGTTAGCTTAAACAGAAATGTAAGTGTCACACCATTTTCTTGTTTAATCCAAACCGTGAAGAATTTAAATGGACTTTGTGATATTACGATGGTTTTTAAACACACACAGAGACAAAAACGCAAGATTATTGTAATTTTGAATTTTCTTTTTTTAGTTTTTTATATTTAATTATATATTGTAACATTATAATTCTAACTGAATTATAACATTTTGATCATTTTAATGTGTCCTAGTTGAATAAAAGTATTATTTCCTAAAAAAATTTACTGATATACATTTTTGAACCGTAGTGTACGTTTTATATTATATTATATTATATTATAACTCTGTTTTTTTTCTTTTAATTATGTATATATATATATATATATATATATAATTTTTTTTAAACTGCATATTTTGTATTTTTTATTAACTGTATTAAACTTGGCATGAGGATATATGTTTGCACACACATTCATGCGGTGACGTGCCAGTGTGGATAGTTGGGGCGAAAGTGTGTTTAAATGAACTGGCCAGGCTTGACCGATTTGGTAGATAATCTGAACAGCAGGCACCATAATGGCCCGAGTTTAGAAGTCTGTAATGGGTTTCTTTCTTCCAGCTGCCCTGTTCTGTGCCTCACAGCTTTCAGCACGGAGCACTTAGCACTGAGCTAATGCACCTCAGCGGGGAAAAAAAAACTGCAAATGGTGGCAGGGCACAGGAAAGAGCCCAATGTAGATTTAAAACAGGATGTTTTTGATGACTCAGATTGATTTAGGTCAACCGATTGATATATGCTGATTTATAGACAGAAGGGAGCCTGTCATTGCTTAAAAAACAAAATGAATATTTCACTCTGTAATGAAACTTGTCATCATTTACTCACCCTCATGTTGATCCAAACCAGTATGACTGACTTTCTTTTGTCTCCACTCTACATTCACTGTAACTGCACAGAAAATCATTACGTTCTTCAAAATTTTACTGTGAAGGCACTGAAGAAAGAAAGGTCCATACAGGTTTGGAATGACATTAGGCTTAGGAAATGGTCATTTTTTATTTTTTGAGTGAACAGTCTCTTTCAGAAAAACCATGTGAGAAAATTAAAGGAAAAAAGCAACTCTAAAGGTAAAAAAAAAAGACTAAAAGCCTAAATAGATAGATGTTACAACACCACACAAGGTTCTTCCTGTTCGCTGTCTGTTGTCCTCTAGCAAGTGTCCTGTATATTGCCTGTCCTTACTGACCCTCATTAGGACGACACACTCAACCAGGCTAAAACAAGCTCTCCTCCAGGGTGTGTGTATGTGTGTGTGTGTGTGTGTATGTATGTGTATGCATAGGTGTGCACGTGTGTGTGTGAGTTGAAGAGCACTCCGTGACCCCTCATCAGTCTCTGCAGATCCTCTCCTCTGAATGTCAGTCCGTCCTTGCGATCGTCCAATCAGAACCCAGTTAAGATTAGACTGTGCTATAGTTTGGGAATGCCTCGATCAGATGTTTTAGGACCCGTTTAGTTTAAACCTGTTGTGCATGTATGTGGCGCGATCCCAACTTGCTTCAAAATTAGGGCCAAAAAGATGTTTATTCTGACTTCTTAAATGTTTTTCAAAGAAATCTGACCTGCATTTATTTGATCAAAAATACAGTAAAAACAGTAATATTGTAAAATATTATTACTATTTAAAATAACTTTATGGTCACTTTTGATCAATTGAATGCATCCTTTCTGAATAAAAGTATTGATTTCTTTAAAATCCACACTTGTAGTTTGAGGTTTGAGTACGTCCCAATCGGATATTTTCGAACCTGGATTTAAACCTGTTGTTTGCGTATGAGACTCAATCCCATCATGCATCAAAATTAGGGCTGGACAGATGTAGGCTTTCACGTTTGTGCCGCTTATTCCGGCTCTGTGTGTGTGTGCTCGGCCACACGCGTAGCTGCATTAACCAGCTGTGTGTCCAGATGTGGCCGCCCCTCCCGTCCTCTTATCACACGCATACACACTGGTTACTTGCAGCATGTCACGCAGGAACATCCTGTCATTCCCGCTCGTGTCCCTAAAACACCTCCTACCTCCCTCGCTCCCCTCCCACACATACACACACACACACACACACACACATACACACAGACCATGCCGCCAGTCAAACTGTCACCAGGCTGTGCGTGGTCTTGCTGCAGATCTGATATGACTGCCTGCTCCCCGCCTTGAGCGCCCTGCTCTCTGTTTGCCGTGTCCCCCAGCTCGGCAGGCAGCTAATCCAAACTGACGCTCCCTCCCGATGCTCTCTTCACCACCAGCACTGCCCTGCACTGCCACAGCCAACGAATCAGAGAGTCGAGCTGAAATAGAGGGGTAGAGGAAGATGGGAAATGAAAGGGAAGAGTATTAGAGAGAGTGTTGGGTACTCAATGTCGGCGTATTAAAGGAATAATTCACTCGAAATGAAGATTCGGTCATTATTTAGTTGCTCTTATGTCACTGCAAACACAAATGACTTTGTATTTTCTTTTAAACACAAAAATAAAACACACTTTCTTTGTTTGTGGATGAGACCAGAGTTTAAGCTCTCACATTTCTAGATAATTTTTTCTGCTTTTTAAAATATTTTTCATGGTTGTATTTATCTGATTGCACATTTATATATAAAATATAAAAATTGAAGTATTAAAATGTAAACACTTTAATAAAAATAGCAAGTATTTAACATTTTAAATATAAAAATTTATATTATAATTTATATTATAATATAATTATTATATATAATATTATAATATTATAATTTAATTTAGTTTTTTAAAATGTAATTTATTTCTGTGATTTATTCCTTTTCCTTCTGAAATCATTCTAATATGCTGATTTGGTGCTCAAAAAACATTTATTATTGCTA